GCAAGAGTCTGCACTCCGGGGAGCGGACAGGAGGCAGGAGCTGCGCAGGACCGAGCCATCAGCGCCTCGTGCTGACTTGGTGTCCAGCCAGGAGGAAATCATCAGCCCAGCAGCGCAGACCTTGCGCTGGGCAAAGCTCAACTCACCACAGCCCCAGAGCAGGGTAGGCGGGTGGGCACCTGTCCCACAGACGGCGAGATGGAGACGGGCAACAGCCCGCAGCTCTGCCATCCCCCTGGTCCCCTGCCCATCTGTGCACCTGGTGACGGAGCAGACGTGGAGACTGTTCCCACTCGGCCCAGCCCCACCAGGGCACAGCGGCCGCAGTTAGTGCCCGTCTCCGGAGACAGCCGCCCTTGAGATGACACGGTTACATTGCAGAGCACGAGGCAGGGCGGGCAGCAAAGGAGACACGGTTACATTGCAGAGCACGAGGCAGGGCGGGCAGCAAAGGAGGGTCCAGGAACGGAGGGGAATTTGGGGAGGCACAGCAGGAAGTCAGTCCAGAGCCCCTGGGGCATACCCCTGTGCTCAGCACAGAAAGGGCATCAGGGCACATCCCGCTTCGGGACCTCTGTGCAAGAGCGCCCCATGGATACGAGCTCCTCATAGCAATGCAGTCCAGGCAGAGGAAAACCTGACCTTGCTGATGGTCCAGCATCAATGTGGCCACACATCTCCACACATCTCCCATCTGCCGGACCCTGCTGAGTGGAGCAGTCCCAACAGGAGCCCGGAAAAGTAAAGGAGAAGAATCTCAAGGAGTTTGTTGTTCTCCACACAGAGCTGAAATGCGCTCCTCTTCTTCCTGGCCCTTGTCCTGAAATCCCCCGCTGCTCAGAGCGAGCTGGCACTAGCATCTCACAGACTGCACTCGAAGCAGGGGCCAGCGTGCCAGAGCGGTGCACGGCTGCCTTCCCCTGTTGGGGATTGCCGGAAAGCACCGCGTCCCCAGATCTGTGGGTGAATCCATGCAGCCCCTTGGCAGGCAATGCCATCGTGCCCATGGGGGCAGGCCTGCATGATGTGGCTGGGCAGCAGGCCATGCCCCAGGTGTTGCAGCGTGTGCAAACGCCTTGCTGGCTTCTGGTCTCAGCTCTGCTCCTGTCGGAGAACCAGGGAGGTGCCAAAATGCCTTGCCTCAGCAAGGGGCGCAGCTGACTTTGGAGGGGCCACTAGAGACACTTGCCAAAGGGACCTTCTCCTGACACCAGACACAAAGTGCAAGGCTCTTCCCTGTGTCAGGGTTGTGCAACACAAACGAACCACTCAAGGATCTCACCCACTTTGCAGCTCTCGTGCTGCTGGGACCCGCTTCTGCACCGTGTCATGCTGGAAAGACTGCTCTGCGATGAGGCTGGCATCCTCTCCTCGCAGGCAGCTCAAAGCCCGTGCTGAGCAAGGGTCATCTTCCCTGTTCTGCTGTGCAGGGAGAAGAGGAGCGAGGCGGTGCAGGGGATGCAGCCAGCCCTGAAGAGCTTGGGGCTAGCTCTGCTCCTGCAGCAGAGGTGCCAGCGACGTGGGCAGCTCGGCACAGCCAGGGTGCGGGACCTGCATCCTCCCCACGTCATGCAGCACTTGAGAGAACTGGTCACTTCTCTCCACGTTGGTCACTTTTAGCCTCCTAGCTCAGACGCCAAAGGCAGCGGGGACTGAGCCTGGGGCTGCCTAAGGTCTGAGAACGCTGCTCCCTTCCCACAGACCCTGCTGCATCCCTAGGTTCGAAGCTCCCGTCTCGGAGGGTAGCGTACGAGCAGCGGTCTGAGGCAGAGCCCTCCTCGCCCTCCTCTGCCTGCTAGCTCCCCTTTCCCTCCCCACACTGGGAAGCAGTGGGGTTTTTAAAAAAATGGAGAAAAAAACAAGAGAGGGGGGATTTCTGCAGAAAGAAAGAGGAAGGGAATGCAGCAATTTCTGTGGCGACAGCGACAGGAAACGGCAAAAGCCTTGTGAAACTCCGCCTTTGGTATCCTGGGGCTCTTCCTAGCCCTGACATGCATGCTGTTGTCCGGGGGCCTGCGGGCGGGCGGCTGTGCGTCGCAGAGCTGTGCTTCGCGGGTGTCTCCTCGTGGTTTCGTCCCTGGGCTTGGGCAGCTCCCGAGCACCTCTCCCCTCCGGCCCAGCACTGCCGGCTCCTCTCGGCCTTGCTCTCGGTCAGGCTTTGCAGACAGCCGCCTCTGTGGGACTGTCCCCGGTGTCCTGAGGGGCTTCTTGGAGAGGGGCAGTGCTGGGCAGGGGCGACGAGAGGGGATCCAAGCTCCGTGGGGTTCGGCAGTCCCGGGGGAGAGGGTGGCACATGCCAGGGCTGTACAAAACGTTTGCGATGACGAGTGTGTGGAAAGGTTAAAACAGTTCCGAGACGTCTCAAAACCCTTCTCGACTGAGCCAGGCCTGGCTGGCACCTGCCAACACCTCTGCCATGGACCGTGACCTGCCAGGAGCGCTGTGTCCGTCTGCAGATTGTCTCTCACGGCAGGCCAGGCCCGGGAACGGCTTCGGGGCCCTGAGGCCCCTTTCTCTCTCTGACTTGACTTTGTACCTGAGGACCAGGTAAGCCAGGAGCCGCAGGATGACGAAGAAGATGCCCAGGATGAGGAAGTCCAGGTAAAGCTTCGCCTCCTCCACGTCCAGCTCCTGCAGGATCTTGATGGGCTTCTGGAAAGGGCAGAAGTCCTGGAGGCACTCCAGGTCCTCGCGCTCCATGGCATAGATGGTGAGAATGACACCCTCGAAGCCGTACCTAGGGGGGAGCGCCCTGCATGAGCCACTGCGCGCTGCCCCCAGCACTGAGCCGGGCAGGTCAGGGCTGGGTGCCCATTGCCTCCCTAGCCCTCTCCCGGGAGCTGCCAGCCAGAGCGCAGGGTCCCACCTGACGTAGGAGACGTAGGAGCTCCACTGCAGGTAGGTGGGGATGGTCTTGAAGCTGACGAAGAAGCCCGAGAAGAGCAGCACAGGGATGGCAGTGACAGGTCCCACAAAGGTGGCCACCTGGGGAACAGAGGCCATTGGGAGTCACGTCCCCATGCAGAGGTGCACCCGAGCTTTGGCAGGGTGCTGCACGCACCCCTTGTGGCACTCATGCGCTGGCCTGCAGGCAACACTTCCTCCCGCTCCTCCTTTTTGTGGGACCCCTGGCAAACCCTCCCCTTCCATGCAACTGCCCTCCTGGTCCTGGCAAAGCCAGGGCCTCATCCAACCTGCAGGGACGTGGATGCCGCTCCGATGAGAAGCCCAAGGGACTGGGCCACCAGGGCTGGGGCCGTGGCCAGGGCAGAGAAGAGGAGGAAGCGCGTGGCCTCGGGAGGCTGGCCCGTCATCCAGTAAACGATGCTACAGTATGCGATGGGGCAGATCACCTGGAGAGAGGTGGGCAAACGGACAGCTCAGCTGGACCCATGCCCACCCTCACCGCCTCCCTCCAGACCCTCCCTGGGGGACGGAGAGCCTCAGGGACCCCACGAAAGCCAGCCAAGGACGTCTTCCCCTTGGCCGTGCTGAGGAAGGCAGGTCAGCAACAGGGCCATGCTTGAGTCCAGTTGAAAGCTCACCTGGAAAGGCACATCTGCCATGGTCTTTGCCAGGTAATAGGCCTTCAGGCTGTACCAGTAGTTCAAGTGCTCTCGCAGGAATACAGACATCTCCTGGGGGACTGCAGGGAGAGGGCCAGGAGGAGTTAGCAGCCAGCAGCAGCCCTGGCTCTGCTGCTCCAGCCCTCGCCCCCGCCTGCCCTGGTGTCCGCGGATGTGATGCTTCCCCTGCCCAGGGCACAAAGTGGCCTCCTGCCTGTGACTAGCCAGAAGTGACTGGGCAAACTGCTTTGCTAGGGAGAAAAAGGTGACCAACATGGGAACTTTCTGCATGGAAAAGTCAGCTTGGCTGAGGAGGGGGGGGGGGGGGGGTGGGGGGTTTAGTCAAGCTTTTTGGAGAAGTGAAAAAGAGATGAAACAATCAAAAGTGCCACTTTACAGACATTTTGTCAGCAACAAAAAAAAAAAATCCAGCAATTCTGGTGTGAGTCAGCAAGCATATTATAGCCAGCTGTTAAACAAAAGACAATACCATCAAAACTGGAATATGCTCCAGGAAATCCAACCTGAAAATTTCCCCCATTTTTTTATTTGATTCTTTTCCTCTCCTCTGCCATGTCCCCCCCTTTTGCCCCAGTTCGACTGGCTCTATCACTATCTGGTAGACACTCAGCTGTGGAGCTTGACCACCCCTCTCTGCCCCACAGGGAGAGCTGGTGGCCCCAGGAGCATAACTGCTGTCAGGGCAGGGAGCTCCTTACAGGTGAGGATGGTGGGCATCAGTGCGGCAAACATGAGGAAGAGCATGGAGAAGAAGAGAAACCCGGTGTTGTTGAAGACTTTGCCGGCGTCATTGCCGATGTGCAGGTAGAGCAGCCCGATGAGCACCCCAATGCAGATGTGGGACATGAACCGCAGGTGGGTCAGCACCTGCAGGCAGAGGGGGCATGGGGCTCAGAGCAAGGCATCGCAGGGCTCAAGGAGAGAAGAGGACAGCTTGTCCGCTCCTCCAAGGAGAGCCCTACTCTCCCCACCATCCAACCTCTCTCTGTGCCTGCCCCCTGCTCCCCCAACCCTGGCTCCCATCCCCCAAGTGTCCCCTCTCCCTCGGCCACCAGTCCTCCCCTGCCCTCACCGTGTCTCGCAGGATGCAGATAAAGGTTCTCTTGAAGAGGATGCAGAACTGGGTCGTGGTGCTGGTAGCAAACGTGTGGCTCTCAATGTGGTCCACATCCTGCAAGAGCACAGGCAAGTCAAGGACGCGCATCAGGCTCACAACATCGGCTCCCTGCCAGGATGGCTCCCAAATGCTCCCTGCTCTCAGGGTGCCCCTCAGGAGCACACCTGGTGAGGCTGGGTGCTGCCAGATGCCGGCACAGAGCTGTAGCCTGAGACAGGCGGATCCTGGCTGAACATCGTGCTCCCCCCACACCTGAAGGGCCTCAGCATCCCAGGGCACCTCTGCGCTGTGGGGTAGGAGGCACTGACATGTCCCCAGCTGGGCACCCCAGGGTCTGCCACTCCCCAAGACCAGAGGGGACTCCTCTCCTCCCCACTCACCGCCATGCAGTGTGCTGGGCACGACGAGTCTGCCTTGTCAGGGCTGCTCTTCTTCTCGGCCATGGTGCACATGCCATTCTGGACGGCACGGAACAAGACGGGGTTGAGGTCTCCATACTCTCCTGAGGCCACCTCAATAACTGCAGAGGAGGACAAGACCCCTGAGAGGTGCAGACCCTGCTCTCACCATCGCCTCACTCAGCCTGACCATGCCATGGCCCCCCAAGTGAGGGCCCAGCACAGCCCCTGCCCCAAGGTGTCCACATGGCTCAGCAGCGCTGGCCAGCGAGCATCTAATGTGGAGTGCAAGCACAGAGAGCCCCGCTCCCTAGCCAACCCGGGGTCGCTTTGGGCAGGCTCTAGGGCTGGGGCCTTGTGTTTGCATGTTGCCACCCTCTGCTCCCGCTGCAGCCCCAGCTGGGGCAGGCGCACTCACTGAAGTCGGCGGGGTTGTGGTACGTGGGGCAGTGGAGGCCGAGGCCCTTCAGGTAGGGGATGAGGTTGGTCACGACGCCTTTGAAGATGCACTGGCCCTGGCTCAGGATGTACAGCTGCAAGAGAATGAGGGAGCATGACAGAGGCAATGCCCTGCTCCTACCCAACCCCTTCCCTAGCGTGGCTGGGGGCACCCTCGCCAAACCCTTGCCTTCAGGGCTGTGTGCCACGCCTGCTCCAAGTAAAATGCCCTGCACCCATCCCTCCCCATTGACTCTCTTCTGGGCCCTTGGGGCCAGAGGGGCCCCGCACCGCCCAGAGAGAGAGCCCTGCTCCCCAGCCCAGCCCAAACCTTGTCAAACATCTCGAACAGCTTGGCACTGGGCTGATGGATGGTGCAGATGATGGTGCGCCCACCCTGAGCCAGCGACCGCATCAGGGAAACCACCTGGAAGCAGGAGGCACTGTCCAGACCGCTGCAGCATGGGGCAGAGGAGAAAGAGACGGAGAGGAGAGAAGGGGAGAGATGAGAGGGCAAGAAACACATCTCAGAGATGCCCTCCCTCTTTGTGGGAGCCTCCCTAAAACAGCATTGGACTGCGCACCCTGCCTCTCCCGGGCTGGTGAGCAGAGCACCCCTTGGCAGCCCCAGCCCCTGCAGCCTCACCTGGTGGGCTCATCGAAGAACATGACCGGAGGGTTGTTCACTAGCTCCAGGGCAATGGCCAGGCGCTTGCGCTGGCCCCCAGATAGCGAGATGGTGCGGGTGTAGGAGCACTCCAGGAGCCCCAGTGCTGTCAGGATCTCGTTGACCTGGGAGAAAGCCTCATTCACTGGGAGCTCCCACCCCACAGCCTCCCTCCAGCCTTCCCATCACTGTGAATTCTTCGGGGATCACCCAGTCCCCCCAGGGTCCTTGCCACCCCGTGGCTCCCATCCTGGGGAGAGATGAGGGGCTTGGAGCCACCTTTCCTCTGCAGGGCAGGGGGCCCTATGGACTTACCAGCTCCTTCTTCACCTCCTGCTTCTCGCTTAGCTTCAGGTTAGCGGAGACCTATGGGGAGAGGATGGGCAGGGAGAAATGCCTGTCAGATGGATGCAAGGAGGATGACTGCACCATGGCTCCGTCCCTAGCTAAGGGCTAGGGGCTGATGGTCAGGGAAGGGGGGAAAACGGCAAGTCTCAGCGTGAGCCCAGTGGGCACAGCCTGGGATGCCCTCCACCGAGCCCAGTAGGCTGCCCAGCTCCCACACTGCTCACCATCATTGCCTCCAGCACCGTGAGATGTGGCAGGAGCATGTCATCCTGCATGATGTAGCAGGACATCTTGCGAAAGGTGCGCAGGTCCCGCGGCCGGCCATTCACCAGGATCTGGCCCTTCATGCCAGTCTCCCTGCAGGAAAGAGGCACGTGGGGATGCAGCTTGAGGCCTGTAGCCCTGCACACCCAGACTCACGGGCCACGGGGCCGCTCTCACCTGTAGCCAGCCAGGATGTTCATGAGGGTTGACTTCCCGGCGCCTGAGGGCCCCATGATCCCAATGAGCTCCCGCTGGCAGAACTTCCCCGACAGGCATTTCAGGAGAGTCTTGTATCCTGGAGGGAGAGAGCAGCGCAGGTTTGGCTCCCGAGCAGCCCGCGAGCCTGATGCCCGCCTGGATACCGAGGGACCAGCAGCGCCGTGGGGGCTGCGATGCCAACCCAGCACCTGGGGAACCACAGGCCCTCCTGTTGCCTGCGGCTGCCTCCTTCCCCATCCCCACAACTGTCGCCACGGTG